CTTCCCCGAATGGCCCCCTCAAGGAACGAACCTTGCTTGCTTCAGCCTATATTCGCAACCACTGACACTGTTAAGGTGAGGTGGGCGAATACGGCTGTAGGGTTTCCATGCTATTGAGCCGACTGCATACACCGACAAACTGGGTTAATAGCTGGGGAGGTGTCGCGAGACACTTTTCCCACTTCGGCTCTACTCGCCCCCTCCAACAACTGTGACATGAGCAACGACTCGCTTCATTCGGCTGATGCTTTTCAATCTCGCTCGGTCTTGCTAATTCTGTTCGACAACCCTGTTGAGGCTCTGGCTATAGTTACCAGCATAATAAGTCTGGTATACCATACGGCTTTCCTAGCCAATTACGTAGTTTTTCATCGACTGTCGTCTTTCTGTTTTGGCGCGCGGCCGGCACCGCCTATGGGATCGACGTACCCGGGGCAAGGGAGAATTGAGGTTGCGCCGGGGCATGGCGATCAAACCGTCCCGAGCGGCCTGGAGCAAAACAACTCGGCCGGCGGCGGCGGGGAGGGAATGGAATGTTGGGGTGGTCCACTGAGTTACTGGAAGTGGACGGGCAGGCAGGCATCCTTGAAGGGAAGAGAGATAGAACATGAGATAATCGGGAGCATCTGGCATGATGGTGGACGTCAAAACAAACCTGGGCGAGAATACGACGTTCCGCGACTAACATACGCCAGCTGCTGGCGAAGGCCGCGAATCACCCTTCTCGAGTCCCCACACTCACTACGCAGCAATGGAAACAGAAACCGCAACAAGAAGCGGTGCTGGACCTCTAGGCTCTGCTGAGAATCAGGCGGAAGCATCATCAAGCGGATGCAACTGCAACTCGTCCCGTAAAACGATGCCAATCATGCCAGGGCCCAGGGGCTAAGAGGGTTATAGTTGCTATTGCGCGGCCCTGACGATGAATGATGACCATTACCTGTGGAGTGCGCGCGCGCCGAGAGAACTGTCATAGTCAAACAAGGGCTCATGATGGGTCAATAATTCCAAAAGAATCCACGGCCAAGCCTTCTTTTGCCTGGTTTGGCGGTTGGCCTTGAGGGACGATGATACAAAGACGCCATAATACTGCGTACGCACTGACGATGGCCACATTGGAATTTCTGGGCAGAGTTGCCAATGGATGGTCTCGGCATTCTGGGAAGCAAGAGAAGCCGAAGCAGTCCTGTAACAGTGACAGAGAAGCTCGAGAGAAACACGGACGGACGGGGGCCCTGTTCGAGCTCAGGAGTTATCCCTGAGCTCGAGAGAGAAAACCATTCGTCTTTCGCAGTCGGAGAATATTCGACTTCTCCAACGGGGAATTAGGATGACGAGCTTCCGAATGATTTGAAGATGGAAAAGAAGCGAGGAAACATCAAAAAGGAAGCATTTGGGACGGAACAACCTGTAGATGACAGGGTCCAAGTCACTTCACCATCAGGATTTAGGTAGGTACCGGAAAATGGTGTGGGAAGCTGGCTGTGCTCTTTGGCTGAGGCGCGCTGTTCCAGCCCTTCGACCATGATTCTAGCGGCACCTGGAACCCCGGAAAGGCGGATCTGCAACACCAATCCCGCGCAAGGTACGGGCATGTGGGAGTGGGAAGTGCATGAGGGAGATGAGCGAGGATGATTGGGTGAAGGAGCCGTGTGCTGTGGCTGTGTGTGTGCGCTTCTGCTACATGGTCCGAGAGACGCGGGTCTCGGAACAAGGATCGCGAGTTGATCTGGTCTTGATCCTCGTCATTCCTCAGTAGCATCTACTGTTTGATGTCGACTGTGTAGGTTATGGATAACTTTGGCTGAGTGGTTGTCGCTTTGAGTGTGCAACATTGGTAGGTCTTGGAGAAACTGCATGGTCATTAGTATACGGGATAGGAGACAAGGAGCCGATCTTGCGCTAGATTTCTATCTCGTCTCTCGTCTTCATCGGCCCGGCATAGTCTCTCTCTTTCAGCTGGCCAGCAACTCGATCAGGAGTTTAGAACGGATAACCGGCGCCGAAAGGCGGATATCCCGAGCTCAGGCCAGGTTAGATGATGGAGCACGTCGGACCACGGCCTTGTTGCTTAAGAGAAGTCTCCTTTCTTCGACTCTTTCTCAGTAGATGTTTCTTCTCTGACAATCACTCGCACAACGACACACACACGACGTCAACACCTGCTCAATCCCAGCTCTCTATAGCCAACGTGATCGTCACTATCAAAACAGGTACGGACCTCTGAACCACAGACTTCCTGTGGCTGTCACCATCGGCAAACGCTTCTTCCATCTTAAAAAGTGGAACCAAGGGACCGCTCCAGTTTTAGAAGATCACACACAGAAAGTGCTAAATCAAGCGAGAGGAGGGACGTTTGGTTACGTTGTGGAAGGTGTGCTGAGATCGAGACACGCCCGTGTGGTGCGTCCATCACACACGTCCTACGCGGCTGTCTCTCTCTCTCGCCCTCTCTTTTCCTGTTCCTCGACAGTCTGTTAGGTTGGTAGTCTGCCCAGCTCACTTCTCTCCTCTCTGCATCTGGGGACACACCCACAGGTCATCCATCCTCGCTCGCACCGCCCTCCTTCGCCTCAAGTTGTCACTGTGTCGCTGAATCTCGCACTCTTTCAACTGTATCTTCTCCCCTTCTCTTACGGGGTGGGTGACATAATCATTTGCCGCTCTATCCGTATGTACCCCAGCTCTTTTTCTCCGACTCTTCTTAATGTGCTTTCTTTTAAGAGTGTTCTCTGATGAACACATAGAAGATACAACTAACAGCAGAAATAGAGAGTAAAAAATGATAAGCAGACAGTAAGGAAGTATTGTAACCTTTGATTGACCGGCATCCAATTTCTTCACCCGCTTGCCTTCCCAGGCTCTCATCCCTCCCTCCATTCATAAATCTTCAGTCTCAGCCTCCCCGCCTTTACGCCCACACTCTCATGTATGATGTATGTACCTGCCTCTCGGGCATGGGTAGGTGATTTGTTTTCTTGCTTCTCTACCTTATCCACGCCCCCGTTCCAGTAAAATCCGTACCTGATGTGAAAGGGAAAGAGAGGGGGAAGAGTTCTGGACTCACTCAATTCCGACGTCCATCCATTGTCCATCCATCGGTCACTGACCGACTCCCTTCTCTGCCCACTGTGACTGTGCCTGTATGTATCTGGTTCCCGGCCTGCCCACTCCCCGAGAACCGGCGTCAGTCAATCTCTCTTCGGCTTCGACTACCCACTCTGTCTGCCCTACTACCTAAACATAGCATAGCCGGCCTGTCAACGCTCTTCTCCCCCAGCATCTTTATTCCTTTTTGCCCAATATCCTTTTAACCCAAGACTTTCTGCCTTCCCACCCCTCGACTTGAGACTAGACGGAACAAATCTCAATACACAGCCAAGAACCGTTGAGGTTTTGAGGCCAAGAAGGATCACACACGTAGTCTTGACCAAGACTTTTCCTCTACCACCAAGTTTGCGCCATCTGCGACAAATCAGCGTACTCGCGGCTTTTCGCGACGTTTCCCCATCCCAAGACTTTGTCGTCTTGGCTAGAACACTCCCTCACAACCATAACCCAGGGAGGGAACAAGACCCCCAAGGGCCATACCCCCAAGGGCCATACCCCCCTGTCTCCTGGCTGGCTCCTGGAGTCCTGGCACCCCCGATCCCGACCTAAGGTCCCCTCTCAGTTGGGAAACCCATCCCGCTTGATCCCGCTCCTTTGCCGAGAGATTTCAACTCTCGACACTGCCTACCTTACCTGTCTCCATCCTCCGCCGCCCAGGTTCTCATGTCGTTGTCGTTCTTGTTCGCATTTCTTCGGCCTCGTTGTCCTGCCCTCTGATGGGAATCATCAGCGACATTGCATCGCGATACAAGTCTTTCCTCCACCCTTGACTATCTTGAAGCAGATACACCCAAGGCCGGATAGGACCGGGGAGATCGCAGCATCGGAGACAAGACGACACCACACCGGCAAAAGAGGAACGAGAACTCTGTTGCACTCACTGCCCACTCGTCCAAGTCTCTCCAACACCCACGCACTGCCTACTCGGTACAGCGCCTCGCCCCAGACTGTCCACAGTCCGCCCACCCATCGCCCGGGATTCCTGCATATGTAAACGACCTAGCGGGCACGAGAACAGACCAAGTCTCACGCTTCCCTCCACCTGTACCGTCCACACACACACACACACTCGCTCGCACTCACTCACACACACTATCCACACCTTACCACACACCGTAAGGTATTACCCAACGTAACGCCCTGGCCTGAAAGAGACGGAGCACAGAGCACACACACAGCACACACACACACTCACAGCACAGAGAGTGAGTGAGAGAGACAGGGAAAAGGGGACCACTCTTCACACTTCACCATCTTTTACGCTAGTCAAGTCAATCCCGTTCCATCCCAGGAGGCGACTAGCAGCTTGTGACTTTTACATCTCGACTTTTCACTCTCACAAACCGCACTCCATTCTCCGCTTTCTCTCTCTCACACACACACTACACACTCACAACTCAACTTGACGCTCAACTCACTCACCGACACACTCTCACCTCACACCTCACCCCCTTACCCGACGCCTTCAACGCTGCTGCATCGCGCGCACTGCATAGCCGACAACCCGTTCGACTCCGATCGTCGTCTTCGATCTCACCACCACCTACGACCAACAGCGCCCAGTACCGAGATAGCAAACTCGATAACCGCAGACTCCTCTCTCCCTTCCCCGCGATAGGCTGCCTCTTCCCAGCAGCCCCCCATTTTCGGCTCCCTACATTTGAGAGAACACTTTGAGAGAGAAGAGAGAGAGAGCCCCCTGCAGCTGCGCGCTCTCACTCACTCACTCACTCACTCACTCCAATCCCCGCAACGCGCCTCCCTTCACTCTCATCGTGAGAGGGCCGATTAATCTCATCTAACGACCGCTCATCAGCGCATTTTCTCTCTCACGACACGAAACATCGACAACGACATCACCAACTTCCAACGACGTCAACCAACGTTTGATGCCCGAGACGACCTCCCAATCGCAACCCAATTCACCACAATCAGGTGTCCCGAGCAATCACTGAAAAGAAACACGCCGCGCATCGCTTTCCTCCCCCCACCGATCCCCATCCGTCTCTACTCGCCAGAGACGGATCTTTCGAGTAGCCCTGGAGGCATACGACGCCTCTGCAGGCGTCCTCGTGCCAGGCTTTGGCCTCGGTTCGGCGGTGCTGAATCCATTTGAGCATCCGCCCCTCGACTTCGTCCACGATCCTTACCACCTAGTAGGAGGCGACAACAACGACGACGACGACGACCAGGTCTCCTCCCTCTCCTTCGGCTTCTCCTCCGACTTTACGCCAGACTTTACCCTCGGCCCCGACGCCGACGCCGCCTCCAACTCGGAATCGGCATCTTCGTATCTCGGGAATCATCACCAACATCACCAGTCAAACTATCTCAACCAGCATCATCATCATCAACAACAGCACTACCAACACAGCGCCGCAGACACCATGAACTTGCCCAGCTCCCACATCCCGCCCCGCCGCAGCGCGAGCATCCACTCCCTCACCCCGTCGCGCGACCTGCTCGTCAAACCCAAATCCCCAGAGAAATCCGCCGCTGCCGCCGCCGCGACCGCCACCAAATCAAAACGAGTGCGGACGGGTTGTCTAACGTGTAGGGAACGGCATCTAAAATGTGACGAAGGGTTACCAGACTGTCTAAATTGTCGGAAAAGCAGTCGAGAATGCAAACGCGGCGTAAGGCTTAATTTTATAGACGTGCAGGTCAAGAAACCGCCGTACATGCCCCCCACTGTGGAGTGGTCAGGTGAGTTGCGAATGCCCTCATTTTCAACGACTGCCCATTTCCGTCGGCCACTCATTCTCTCTGTGCATCAACCATCTTTTATTGAAGAAAGAGGACGAAAAATGGTCACATAGAGTACTTGGACCCCCATGCTAACGAACCTACAGTCCAATTCCAAGATGAATCGAGGCTCATCGCCTCAGAGTATGTCGGAGGCCTCGGCCGGTACGCTCATCTTGATAAAAAGGCCGCCGTCGCCCCTCCGCCACGGCATCTAGGCCATCTAGAGCCGACCCTCCGGCACCAATCCCACCTCCTCCCACACGCAAGAGCAAGCGGCCCAGACGCCTCCGTCTCACCGAGAACTCACCTCCTCCACCACCCACCACCACCGCCGCCGCCGCCCCCGGCGTACAGCCACCACCCGTACTATCGCGAACCCCCTCCCCCGCGAGCAGGAGTCGGGGGAGGACCCATCGAGTCATCATCATCATCAGCCTACCCGCGCCGCGAGAGCGAATCCGCCTACCTCACGCCCCAAAACTCGGCTCACCCGGCGCAGGCGGCATCTCACCACCCCTACAGCCTCCACGATCACTTCGCCTCGTACCGCGACACCGGCGCCGGTGGCATCCCCAACAGTCGCGCCCACGGCCACCACCGCGACAGCGACGCCTCGAGCGCGGCCTCCATCGTCCCGCAACCTACCGCCCCGCCACCAAGCTACCGTAGCAGCGCCGCCGCCGCCGGGAACCCCTTGGCCGTAGACGGCATGATGACCCCCCCACCAAGCGAAAAGGCCACCGCCGGCGAGAGGGAGTACCTCAACTCCCCCGAGGAGATCCTCTACATGCAAGTGTTCGTCGAAGAAGTCGGCGTCTGGATGGACTCGCTCGACAAGGAGAAACACTTCTCCCGCCTGATCCCCTACCACGCCCTCAAATCCCCCATGCTCCTCAACGCCTTCCTCGCCTGCGGCGTCAAGCACTTGACGCTCGTCAACCCGGCCTACGAGGACGATAAAGCCCTCTTCTACTACGACACCGCCACCACGCAGCTCCTCCGCAGCCTGCAGAACCCGGACCGCAACACGGGCGAGTGCGCCACCACGGCCGTCGTCCTCAACGTCTACGAAATCATGTCCGAGAAGCCCGCCCAGCGCATGAACCACATCGCCGGCGCCCGCGCCCTCATCCGCGAGTGTAAGTGGGACGCCCGGTCCTCCGGCATCGGCGCCGCGTGCTTCTGGCTCAACATCGGCATGGAGGTGCTCTCGTGCCTGGCCTTCAACTGGCAGACGTCGTGGGATCCTGATCAGTGGGGTCTGGATATGAATTTCACCAACGAGGGCTGCGGCCCGGCTGGTTCGGCGGCGGCGGCTGCATCGAGGTCCGGTGATGGCTTTGGACAGGAGGAGGTCTGGGTCCATCGGATCCTGTACATTGTGGCCAAGATTGCAAACTTCCGCGCCACGATCCCGCGGTTCCAGGAGCCGAGCCCGCACGACGAGCAGATCCGCCTGGGTAACCGACTCCAGCAGTGGCAGGATCTCAAGAAGCTCTGCGACAAGTGGAACAACACCTGCCCGAGGACGATGCACCCGTTCGGATACCTCTACCCATCGCAAACAAACTCCAAGTCCGCCTTCCCCAACGTCTGGTAAGTCTTCACTGCACTAACAATCTCTCTCTCACTCTCCTCTGTCCGAGCCAGCTGTCATCTAACAACCCTAAAGGCTCATCAAACGCGCCGCCATAATCGGCCGCCTCTTCTACCACACAGCGCAATGCCTCCTCGCCCAAACGAACCCAATGGAACCAGGCCGCGCCTCGGAAGAAATGCGCGCCCTCCAGCTCCACCACGCCCACCAAGTCTGCGGCATCGTAGCCCACACAAAAGACCGCGGCGTCGCCTCCGTCGCGATCCGCTCCCTCGCCATCGCCTCCGCCGTCCTCACCGACCCGCGCGAGCAGGAAGAGGTCCTCGAGATCCTCGACAAGATCCACGCCGAGAGCGGGTGGCGCCTGGGCAGCATCCACGGCGAGCTCAAGAGGGCGTGGGGGTGGCCTTCGCCCGCGCCGTCGCACGCTTCTCTCAGTGGTCCGGCTGGTGGTGCCGGTGCTCCTGGGGACCACCGAGGTTCCGTGGGGAGTTATGGCGGTGGGAGACCGGGCCCGCCGGGGAACCCGCCTGCCATGGCGACGTCGAGCGCGCCGTCGGCGTCGAGCGCTGCTGCTTCTGCGCCGATGAAGGCCCTCGTGAACCCGCTCTCGTACGCCGACTTTAGTTTGCCGAATGCCCCCTACAAAGACTGGTGGAAGCCGCCGAATCGCCATGATTCGTACAGCTACCAGGGTTTCCCATGATGACCTTTTCTTTCGCTTCTTTTTTACTCGTCTTTCTTCCAAGTTGGCTTGTCTTTTTTTCCATTTCTTATCTTACTACTTTGTTCCAACTCGTTCCCTCCTTCCAACGAAACCGTAAGAGAGGGAAAGGACGGATTCATATATATAATATTCTTCAAGAAAACAGGAGGCGGATATCTGCTCTTCAGACGTTTCAACATCGTGGATTACCGAAAACCCAAAAGAGGGCTGGCACTGGTTTGCTAACCCACCCTACCTTACGATTACGACTCCCTTTATCCTCTTTTCTCTTTTATTTGGAACTTCTTCTCTTCTACTGCATCATCTTTTTCATACAAAGGCTACAATTGGGAGAGGAGGGCACCGCGGCTTTACAGGACGGCCGGCAAAGCATTGCGTCAGATAGGACGGGTCCCCGCCCCTGGTTCAGAACAACCATGGGGATATGTTTGGAGAGAATTGCAAATGGACAATGGGATATGTGGGCGTTCCGGCACTTCACACGGAGACAAAGGGGGGAAAGATGGTTTTTATGCTGAGATGCGCTCCAGCACTTTGAAGAGGCTCCAATGGTTGGGAGACCCCAGAATGCTCTGCAAAGGGCACCGATACCATGAGATATTTACTATTATTCTATCTTGGGCACACACTTTTGCTCCTTTGTTTGCTCTTCTTACAGTTCATCATACACAAAGTACTCTAGGGTTAAGGAACTGTCTTTGATCGTTGTCTGCATTATCTGGTATCTTGTTTTATTCGGATGGGAAAGGGGATGTTGGGGTTCTGTCTAACGCGGGAGGGAATCTATCGCAATGCCAATGCTCAAAACGCAAATGTTAAGCGCTCAGTGTCTTGACACCAAGAACTTTCTATGGAAAAAGTTGATTTTCCTTCCCTTTCCAGACTCATCTTCTAATGACGTGCCCAAAATCCATCGACCCATTCGTTCAATCGTCATGAAATCCGTTTGTCCTATTTATCGCCGTTTCTTCGTAAAAATTGCTCAACAAAGAGAAAAGAAGGCAAGAAAACTCAAAGTCTGCGAGGCTTAGCTAGGAATTATGCCAAGCCATGTTCCAAAAGTTTCTTGCTTGCTGAAAGCAGTGCACTAAGCAGAGCCATTGGTGTTGGTGACGACGCTGCCGCTGACGTTCTCCTTCATGAAGGGCTCGTTGTCGACCTCAATGGAAGGGATGGTCATGCCAAACTTCTCGTAGGGGAAGTTCTCGAGAGTGGGCAGGTACTCGGCCCAGCCGTCGTCAATCTCACCGACCTGGTGCATGTCGACCTGGCCGGCCTCGCCAGTGCGGCCAGCGAGGACCTCCTTCTCGCGGCCGGCGTACTCCTTGAGGAGCATCTTGTGAGGGCACCAGATGACACGCATGCCGGCGCGGCGACCAGCCTCAACACCGGGAACAGAGTCCTCGAAGACGAGGCACTCCTCGGGGGTGATGGGCTTCTCGCCCTCGGGAAGAGACTCGTTGATGGTTTTGAGGGCCAGAAGGAAAATGTCGGGGTTGGGCTTGCCGCGGCCGGGAGCAATGCGGGTGTCGTCACCCAGGACACGGCGCTGGGAGGGGAAGACGGAGAAGAGCTCAGTCAGGTGGTCAGACTTGAGCTTGAAGTTCGCCTCGTGGGAGGAGGTAGCCAGGGCAATGTGAACGCGCTGGGCAGTCTTGCCGTCAGCAGTGGCGGGCTTGTGGTCGAAGTAGCGGGTGCGACCGAGGTTCTGAAGGAGCTGGGGGATGCCGGGGAGAGGCTTGGTGGAGGGGAAGATCTGGCGCTGGAGAGCGGACAGCTTCTGGTGGTACTCCTCATGGGTGATAGGGAGCTGAGCCCACTCGTGGAAGATGCGAGTGGCGTCAGGACCAGGGCGGCCCTGAAGCTTGGCCTTGATGTTCCAGGGAAGGAGAGGGCGGCCGTACTGCTCGAGGACGATGTTAATGCAGGCGGTGTAGAGGTCTTCGGTGTCGAGGAGGAGGCCGTCCATGTCGAACAGGCAGGCCCGAACGGGAGGGAAGCTACGTCAAGATCAGTCAATTGGTTCGTTGAGGCTGAAGGAGGAGAGAAGACTTACTCGGTGCGAGGAGCCATTGCGACGGTAGGCAAGTTGCAGAGGCGATGTGATGAATGTCAAGTGCGAAGGTAAGAGAGAGGAAGAGGGGGTAGCAATTGAGTATCCTCGAGACAATTGTCGAAGGAGTAATGGTAGAAGGGGGAGTGGTTGAGGGTGGATGAGGTCTGAAGAAAAAGAAGAATCTCCAGTTGGGGTATCACGAGGAAAGTTTGTGGAGGTGAAGAAAAAGGCGGAGGATTTTTTTTAGCAGCAGCCAAAATAGGCCTTTTGATCCTTTCTCGGAAGGACCTGAGTCAACAAAGTGAATTTTGAGGGACGGAAGGAACAATGGACAGGAAGCCAAAGGTCAAACGGGCAGGGGCGTTCAGGAACAACGGCGGGGTGAAAACGGAAGCGGAAGGCACCGATGGAGGGGTCGCTCAGCTCTTTCCCGAATAAAATGGCGACCAGATGGGGAAGTGGGGTCCCAAGTATCCCCGTACACTGTACCTATACTTTCTTTGTCGTCTTGACACTGTACTCCGTACACCGCAGCAAAAACAACCAACAAGTACTCGAGTCACTGTACCTAATACAAAGGGTATCGACTCTTTATGGAATACTTAGAGCAACGGAAGACATTTGAGTCAAATTCTGTCTTCGCTGTCTTTTCTTCTAATACCGACAGCCTTAATTCTACTGTCGCTCACCTCGGATTCAGGAATAAGTATCTTCTCATAAGAGGTACAGTTCAAGCGACGGCGCATACTGTACTCCCTCATGGTGAATCGATTGGATCCCAGCGAGGCCAGCCGCTGAGAGACCCCTAAAGCGCTGTATCCGCCAGGTACCTTTGGCGAATCGGGTCAGCAAAATGTGGCTTCCACCGTCCGAAAACATGTGAACAGCCTCACCGTCCCACCCCACCAAATCCACGTGGGGACGAGACACCTCAGTGACGACATTCCTGGGGCTGCCTTGCCTGCACCTTTGACTCAGCTTGACATCTACTCTCAACGTCAGACGAGTCTACAACAACTCACTGCTGCCTTCAAGATGGCGTCCAAGGAGACAGAGAAGGAGCCTCAGGGTAAGGGCAAGAACACGTCGGTCAAGGATGAGCCTGAAGAGGTCCAGGAGAAGTTCTCTCCTGAAGAGGAGGCGGTAAGGCAAATTGTTCCCTTACTCTCATTCTATGCATTTCAACCTTCTCGAGTTACAAGCTCTTTAAGTATTCAAATGAGATCACATGAAGCCATGCCTGGCAAGTGCCGAATCCCTCAATCTCATACCACCCCTACGATGAGCTCAAAACACACCTCAATAACCATGAAAAAGCTACTCCAACCTCGATCTCAATCCCCCACATCTAACACAACCCGCAGTCCCTCCTATCCGAATCCAACACCCACAAAACCGAAGCAAACGCCCTCTTCACATCCTCCCAATACACCTCCGCCATCGCAAAATACGACGAGGCCGTCTCTGTCTGCCCAAACTACCTAGACTACGACCTTGCCGTCCTCCGCTCCAACATCTCCGCCTGCCACCTCAAACTCTCCCAATGGAAAGACGCAATCTCCTCCGCCTCCGCCGCGCTCGACTCCCTAGACCGCATCGACAAGGAATCCGCCCTCGAGCAGGAACGCCGCGAGAAGCTCAAGGCCGAAGAGGAAGAGGGCGTGGAAGAGGAGATTGTCAGCTCGGGCGCCAGCGCCGCTGCCCCCGCGCCCGTCACCTCCGCGGAAGATGAAGAGGAAGTTGCGCGTAGGAAGAGGGCGGACGATGTCCTGCGCATTCGAGCGAAAGCTCTCATGCGGAGAGCGAGGGCGCGGAGCGAGGAGGGCGGGTGGCAGAACCTTGCGGGCGCGGAGGAGGATTACAAAGCGCTGGCTAAGATGGGGAACCTCGCGGCTGCGGATCGCAAGATCGTGCAGACGCAGTTGAGGGTGTTGCCGCCGAGGACAAAGGCTGCGCAGGAGGCGGAGACGGCGGAGATGTGGGGGAAGCTCAAGGATGTGAGTTCTGAACATGAAATTCAAGAGATTGCTGTGAAAGTGTTGCGCTTGCTAACGTATGAATGTAGCTGGGCAATGGCATTTTGAAGCCGTTTGGACTGAGTACGGATAACTTCCAGATGGTCAAGGATGAGAAGACGGGAGGGTATTCGATGAACTTCAACCAGGGTCAATGAGCATAGGCGCAGACTACCACAGTTCGTCGGTTTATCTATAAAGAAACAGCATCGTTCCGCGTAGGCATGAGAGAAGCGATGGCATCATAGAAACAAAGGAAGCTCATGAGCATAGCTCATTTAGGCGAATAACCTAATTTCTCGTTCATGTTGCTTTGGGAAAGATGATTACTTATCCTGTGAAAGTTCGCAAAGGGTTGAATTGCTCAACTCTGCAAGTGTGTCTGTCAAAAGCATATCGTTCATCTTCTAATACAATAACAGTAAGCACAAGCCAAAGTGGCTCTTGTTGGTATTAATGCATTAATTCACGTTATTCATAGGGTTGTTTCCCCAAAGTCCTCCATTGTCCCTCTCTTCCTCCCTCCTTCCTTCATTTGACACTTCGTCCGTAATATACCAAAACAATGACCATCTCCCTGGTCCATTAGGTGTAGATACTCTCGGTAATCTGGTTCACCTGGAGCCCCTTCTCCGCCATCTCTGCGTCCCGCAAAAAGTCGAGCGGGAACCAGACGAGGTGACCCTTGATCTGGTCAATCTTTTGCCGCGCGTCCGCCGCCGGCATGAACTGGTCGAAAATGTGGCCCGCCTTGACGCCCTTTGGCGGCAGGTACCTGTCGTAGTCGTCAAAGGTTTTGACTAAAGGGAATGTTAGCTCTGATTTAATACTGCACAATGTGAGAGGGGGAAAACCTACTGTGGTCATCAGGATCGGCGTGGAACAGGTGACGGTACAGATCCGTGTTCCGCGTAGCGTTGCCCGTCCACATCTCCCACAGCTCGTCGTTCATCGGATCCTCGACAAACTTCCATGTCTCGTCGCGGTCCCACGGGTCATTTTCCGCGTGGCCCGGCGGACGCGCGTTGGGGTCCTGCGACCCGTCCAGGTCCTGCGCGGGCAGAAGACCAAGATGCTCGCGCCACAGGTACCGGCGCAGCGACGTCGCGTGCCACCCGGCCTCGTAGGGCTTCCCGTCCATGGTGCTCGGCACGCGCTTCGTGTCCTCCATGACGATGCTGAGCTCGCTGTCGTGGTATCCCAGCTGGCTGCGGTCGTTGAGGTTGCTGGAACCGCAGACGACGATGCGGTCGTCGACGATGAGCAGCTTGGAGTGGATGTAGAGCTCCTCCTGGATCCAGTTGCGGATCTCCGTCTCCGGGTCCTCGTCCTCCCACGGCTCGTCCTCGATGGAGCCGGAGTTGGCCATGGCGTGCTGCGCGACCGAGGTCTTGTTGCTGAGCTGCGCGTCGCCGAGGCTGGCTTCGAAGCGCTGCTTGGCGTCGATGGCATTTTGGGCTTCCGTGGTCTTGCCGCCGCCGACTTGTTCGGCCTTGGCGCCCATGTGCTCGTCGCGCTCCTTCTCGGTGGGGTCGTTGATGCCATGGATTCCCGTGCCCATGACCTCTTCGGCTTGCGCGCGCTGCACCTCGGCGTACTTGACGCCCGTGTCCTTTTCTCTCTTCTCCACGGCGGATGTGCGGTTGAGACGGTCGTATGATCGCAGGTTGAAGAAGAAGATGTGGTTTCTTGGGTCGATGCCCTCCTTCTTGACCTGCTCGAAGATCGAGTGCTCGCCGCGGCAGATTGACTTGTACTGGTAGTCCATGATGGCACGGGTACCGGTGGCTGCATCATCTCGGAGGTCGCCGGCGAAGCCAGGAATGGCGGGGATGAGGACAATGACGCGGAACTTGCGGCCTTCCTTGCCAGCCCTCACGACAGCATCGACAATGGCTCGGCCGATTCGGTTGTGGATCGGTGCCTGCTGGTCGCCGGTGGCGGTGATGAAGAACTGGTTCTCAATGTAGACAAAGTGCTCGGCCTTGCTGATGATCTCACAGTAGGCGTTCTGGATCGAGTGGTCGGTCAGGATACCGCTAGACCAGTCGGCACTGGACCGTACGATCTGGGCGTGCATGGATCCCTTATTCTCCAGGTTCGACAGGCTTTTCTCGTCCAGAGGGTGGGTGAGGTACTCTCCAACAGGATGCTTAGGCCTTTGGACTCCCACAAGATCCTCGTCTTCAGCCAGACGGCCGCGCAGCTGAATCCAGTCGAAGCGGTCATCGCGCTTGTACTTATCTCGCTTTACAAAGTTCCAGCGCAGGACAAAGTGCTCGGCAATGTCGTATACGCAGGGACCGACGACACCCATGGAAACGTCGTGCCAAGGCATGCGCCCGTACTCGGCCTTGCTCAATTCGTTCTGCTTCCAGTCCTGGACGTTTTGGAAATCCATGATTCTGTTGTTGTTGAAGTCCTGTCCGGGCCAGACCTCGTTGTGTACGCCCTCGGGATGCGCGTCGGCGAGAGGGTGGGTGTGGCTATCCCAGCGACCGAAGCACAGATCGAGACCTCCGATGAAGGCCATGGCATAGTCAATGACGATGAACTTTTCATGATGGGCCCAGTAGAATGTCATGTCGGCGCCGTTGGACAAAACATTGTGATCGGGGTGGCGCATAATCTTGATGTTGCCGTAGCCAGGCGAGCCCTCGGGGCACAGAGCCTGTAGGGCATGCTTTGTGTGAGCAGAGTTGCACGTCAGGGCAGCCTCGACTTCGCGGTAGACAATGATGTGAATTTGGACACCGGCCTCTGCACGGCGCTTCAGGACCTGATCCAGCCTCCATTCCTTGTTGTGGTGAGGGGGACGGCGCAGGAAGAGCTCAGGGGACAACCACCAGTCGCAAATGTAAATGGTCTCCTTTGCGGCCTCGAGAGCTTCGGAGACGGCCCAGAAGTAGTCGCGGCCGTCGACGTACCACTTGATCAGGTTGCCGTCGCGCTCCGGGAAGAAGGACTTGAAGCGGTGCTCCTCTCCAATCTTTGTCCGCTTGTCGTCGGTGGCCTTTTCGTGCTCCTCGTCGTGGCGGTGGTTGGCGTTGAACTGGAGCGCGTGTCAGTTGTGCTGGTCGCTCCAGGCAGCTAGCTTTTCCAGGTGGAATGAGCTTCAATGGGGAGGAGAAGATGGTCTTACAAGGTTGGCAAGCTTGCCAATCTGGTGTTTCTTATGCACAAGATGGACTTTTGCGTCATGGAGATGGGTGCCCTCTAGCTTGTCCTCCAGCTCCCGGAATGGCTTCTTCAACTTATCCATGAAACCGCCGCCGCTCCCGCTTTCTTCCTTCTTGTGGCCATGGTCGCTTGTGGTCATGAGCCCCATGATTACGGTTTGTTGCCCTGGGCGCTGAATGAAGGGTATGTTCGAATGGAAGAATTGCGCAAGCTCTGAATGTCGGTATCTCTAGATCATGAAGTCGTGGAGAACGGAACGGATAGTTGAAGTTGAAGTTAATGGGTGTGGCTGGTGTGGAGGGGTATCATAGGATGCGCGGGGTACACTGAATGGCGGGGTGAACAAGTTGAAGCATTCCAGCCCAAGTATGCAGCACTCGGATGGGGAAAGGTCAGTGGAAAGTGTTTAAGCTTCGTGTAGCTTGGACTTGTAGGTGTGGGAATAGGTTCAGGAGGAGGGAGAAGAGAAGACGAGACGGAGGAAGAGAAGGAGGAGAATGGCAATGGAGGGACGGCGCGTGGGATGGGGAAAGTAGTAAAGCTTGGAGGGAAAGCTTGAAATTAGAAACCCCGGGCTATGTCATTCCCGTCACTCGTGCGCCGGCGGGAGAACTAATCAAGCAGGTTAATTGGGGTGCGAGGATCGAGAGTAGTTCGGCCGGAAGCAGGATCCAAGGCCAAGGAAAACGAACAGGAAATGGAACTCTCACTCGCGCATTTGGGAGAAAAGTGTGGGCGCAACGCCGGGACGGGGGGGAACGACACACACGACGATTGTTGGTGGTGAGACACGACAAGACTACGAATAGGTACTTTTGAATAGCGCAGGATTTGTATGCAGATCCAAGTACCTCCCACCCACCTCGGTATCGGCCCTGCGTACGTGCAAACAGGCACGCAGTCATACCTTATGGAGCACTGCAGCCGCGGATAATTACAGTCGCACTCGATTTCAAGGCGGGGCAAATGTGACGATCCGCTGGGTCGAACGACTCGGGTCTTGGACGACAATAATCCATGCCTCGCAGCTCGTGCCTGTGATGATCCGGATGCAAGAATCCAGCCCCTGTCTGCCCGTCAGGGACACCATCGAATCCAGCCAAGCTCCCACCCTCCATCTGCCAGTCTTTGGGAGAAAACGATCCCGAGGCCCAAGAGGAGCATGTCTTGGGACCAGTAGACCAGCAAACCGAGCATGCAATGCCACGCGTCTTGCGCCTCCTCTTTCAGCCGTTGGGACCACAGCTCGGAAGGCTGGTAAGAGTCCGCAGCTGAACTCAATTTGAAAGGCTCCAGTGCTCAGCTTAGCAAGGGCTTGCGTGCCCCTGGATGTCCGGTTCATATCACAGCCATGAGACTCGAGCCAGACATTTAAACACCAATCTCGCCCTCTTCCCTGACAACATCTTTGGAATTGGAAGCAGCTGGTGAGCTGAAAGCTGCAGAAACAAAAACGTAAAAGAACGCCTGCCCCGCGCTCGGTGCGCCGGTCACAGGGAAGGTCCCGTCCGTTTTGGCGGTTTGAATTGGTCAATGGAACGCCGTCATTGGTTTCTTGCTTGAGAGGTGGGGCCTGCTACTCTATTTTTGTCCTGACGTCATCTCCAGCACGTCAGTCACGGTACGTACATCTCTGATAAGATTGATCCGGCGGATCTTATCGATAAGTCCCAGCTGCCCATCCCGTCGAAAGCCGCATCTTCTGCCCTGCTGTCAACTGCGACATGCATATGTTGCAGCTCCTTTAAAATGTCGAGTCCTGGTCGCACGACAGCCTGGTACGTTGCATAGGGCGAAATAGAGCATGGCACATGTGCCGAACTCCGGCTTGTCCTTGTCATGGCGCCATTGCGAGCCGCCTGTCGCAAGTTTGCATTGGTCTGGACTGGTACCGAGCGGAAGGGTGGAAACCTGAATTTTGGCGTCTCTGCATCTTTGGCGGACGACAGTCGTGACGTCACAATATCGGCAGATCGTACTGCCATTGTTCCTCGGGAATACCCGCCCATTGATCGTATACCAGTGAGACGGAGGTCCAGAGTCAATTGGACTTTTCTGAGGATCTGATGTTGTGAATTTTGAGTTTTGGGTTGGGTTTAATGTGGCCTTAAATTTCTAGGTGAAGTGCTACGCATCATGGCTTCAAGCAAGCCCATGAGACTTTCTTTACCTACTGAGACCACTCTATGAAGCACATTCGAATCATGATAGTGCACTTTTCTCAACGGATGGTGTGTCTGGACCAATAACTGAACCGTTGAATCTTTGAATTGCCGAGCCTTATGCCCTTACTGCCACCACGAAACGACCGCACTTCGTCGCAAGCATCGTCTCTTTGATATAGTTGTTAATTCTCAGGAGATCCGTCACAGACACGCTTGCGCAGAGTTTCTGGGCGCGGCATCAGATCTGCTAGATCCGATCGTGTTTATCATCAGCATTCCTTGATCTACACTAGAACACATCTAGGTCCTGTCTTCCCACGTGTATCTGCCCATGCGCCCGCGCTACTGTTAACCGTCTTGTCTTGAATAAGCACAGCTTCAACGTCTGAATTGCGCCCTCCATGTCTTGTTTCAATGACCAAGGTAAGACAACCATGACAAGGCAACCGTCCATTATTCCAGCTTCCCAACCCATCAGTGAAACACCAACGCCCGGATATCGATACTCTGCCGACACTCCATCTCATCCATCTCCGGGTCCCGAAAAGCACAATGCGCAGCCCTCCGAACGACCGACGTATCCGAATCAAAACACTTGATGAACAACGCCTCATCCGGCTTCTGCCCATCCAAAAAGTACCACCGGTGCGCCGGATTCGGCTTAATCGTCCACGTCTCGGCCCGGTGACGGGGATAAATAATCGCGCCCGGGACAAGGTCCTCCTCCGCGACCGTACTCCCGTCCGCGACGGCCAGCGGGTCCCGCCGCACCGTCGCAATAGGCCGCCAGATGTTGATGATCTGGAACCGGCGCTTCTCCTTGTCGAGGAGTCTGCCGGCTTCGTCCGCGCCGACGTGGTGCCTCGCCATCATGACGGCGCCGTCGTAGGACTGGTCCACGTGCGCCTTGTGCAGGGGGCCGCGGTGCTCCGTGTTGCGTTCGCCTAGGCTGTGCCAGTTTGCCGGCCCGCGGCGGATCTGGTGGTTGAAGATGACGACCCGGCTTGCTCCCGTGCTGTTGGTGTTGACCCCTGGTGAGCATGGGCCCTCAATTGTGAAAGTTGGCCCCCACTGGTGTGTATAATAAACCTTACACCGCCCAAAAGCTGCCCACTTCGCGGCCGGCTTGGATAAATGAAAGCGTGCAAGACTTACATTTCCTTGTACAGCTTCTCCATCTCGGGATAGTAGACGCCCTTGACCCGTTCCTCGTCTGTAAAGTCCGTCTCAACGCTAGTGTGGCGGACGTACTGGAAGCCGTGGGTGTCGAGGGTGTACTTATCCTCTTCGCCTCTGATGTCGGTGACGGTGACGGTGCGAGGTGTCATTTTCCTCTCATTTGTGACTTTCTGACTGGAATTGAACAAAAGGCATGAGTACTTCGAGCTATTGACACGGTACTCGAGAAATGTGAAGTCTTGTAGACAAGGATATTAAAAAGCGGCCTTACCCCCCTACAACGATTGGGGTGGGAGGGGTTCCATCTCCAGGGTCGTCATAGTAGTTTATGATCGTGACGACTGCACGTCTCTCTGGTCTTTCGGCTTCTGTGGACTTGATCTGTGCCGTGTCCGGCAGAGGCTGGTGATTTGTTGTTCCCACGGCCATATTTGTATCTCTGATGCTATGATATCGTACCACAAGACAACTGTCTTAATTGATGAGATGGGTTTGGAGATTCGGTTCGTCGCGCTGTGTATTGTCTGTAATGTACTTGAATATGTGCAGATATGTACGAAGATGACTTAGACGACAGAGTGTGAGCAACTAGCAATGAGAAGACCAAGGCACTAAAGGCAAGATACAATATCAGATCAAACCAAAATAAACGCAAGGGAGCATCTCAAAATGGGAAACACAGTGGTCCCTCATCTATGAACTGGAGATTTGCGAGCGGAGTCCCTGGCAGCCGGCGGCACGGCAGAGGGAAGAGGGCCGACTGGACGGAGCTCCGCCTTCTCCTTTTTCCGCGACCCCGCGATGGACTGTGCCCCATGCGTCCATGCACTGTCCTGATTGCACGTGATTGGGGTTGAACGGAATGAGGGGTAATCATTAACCGCACTGTACCGACGTATCAGGAACAAGCAGCCGGTCAAGTGGATCCGTCAACCCCACTGTGACAGCTTGGGCTTAGCGCGTTGGATCTCCAATGGGCGGTCCAGGTCCCAGGTGGTGGGGTTTCGAGGGAGAGGTCCCCGCCATGGCCCATGAGAAGCTCTGGTGCTGCTATTGCTGTCCGGGTTGCTGCGTATGCGTGGCTTCCCGGGGGGCCATTTGCTTGACCGCCCCTCGATTCCCGTCCTGTCCCTTTTTTTGGGTTTCGCTTCTCGTCTGAACAGCTCCTGGAACATCTGCTCTTTACCTGTCTACATCTCCTCCCTTTCTTCTACGCTTCTACTCTCCTATTCTTCTTTCTCTCTCATCAAACACATCTTTCAAACACATCAACAAACCCCCTACATCAGACACAATGGCCGCTCAGATCCCTCCCGGAGGAACCTACCTCGACACCTTCAAGAAGTCCTTTGTCGATGTCAAGCCTGACGCCGACAAGGAGAATGCCATCCCTACCTCCGACTTCCTCGATGCCTCCGAGTCTCTGACCACCATCTTCGGTATGTTCCCCCAGCACGGCTGCTCTCTCTCAATACCAAAGGAGACACCGAGCCTTTGATGGTTTCCATGTCTCTAACGAATATCCCCTCTTCTAGATGCCCTTGGAGGCGTTGCTTTCGGTCCCGTCAAGAGCGACATGGGCGGCAACATCAAGGTACGACCTGACTCCTCTCGATACCCCCGATACCCTTTAGCACATGTTCCGAATCATCCCTTGTCACGAAGCTCGGATGCTACCATATTGCTCCTACAACTACATCCAAAAGACGTTGACGAACAATGCCTGACTTATCCATGTACAGAAAATCCGTGAGCGCCAGCTGGCTGCTCCCGGCGAGTCCGCCACCCTTCAGGAGCTCGTCAAGGCCGAGCTGGCCACCAAGAAGCACGTTGCCACCGAGGGTCTCCTCTGGCTGGTTCGGTAAGTCTGCCTCTGAGCTCCCCGTATCACCGACAACGCAGCGGCCGAAACTAACAATGTATTTTGCCAGTGGTCTCGAGTTCACCTGCATCGCCCTGAGCCAGAACGTCGCCAAGGAGTCCGAGGAGCTCTCCGAGTCCTTCCGCAATGCCTACGCCACCACCCTCAAGCCCCACCACAGCTTCCTCGTCAAGCCCATCTTCAGCGCCGCCATGAGCGCCTGCCCCTACCGCAAGGACTTCTACGCCAAGCTCGGCTCCGACCAGGACAAGGTCGCCGCTGAGCTCCGCGTCTACCTCGCCTCCCTCGAGAAGGTTGTCGGCATCCTCAAGGGCTTCCTCGCCAGCAAGGACGCCAAGTGGTAAGCGCAAACAATGCTCTTGTGCGCGCTGACCGAGAAGAATCAAAGGCCCCCCAAAGAAAGCGGGGACCAAAAAGAAAGAGAAATAAACAACGAACAATGACGATATGATGGAAAGAACAACATGTCCTGTCAGTGTCCGCTGCGATGCTAGTACATCGTCAGCCACGAGCCAGTTTACGCAGCCTAGAAATGAATCACAACCTCGAAGCTTGAACCAAATATTTTTCTTTGAGCTTTATGCAATCGAACAATGGCGAGCTTACACAATCACCTTTGACACTTTTGAACTCTCCTGGAGCCATAGTACACAATTTCGAGAGTCGTGAAACATCCTTCGTATTTAACAGGGCTTGTCAGCACACTCATGGACATTTACTTCGCACAACAGAGACATAACAGATAACATCCACACAGCGGCCACACCCGGATCGCATTCACCTACACATCCGACTTTTTTTAACAAGAGCAAAATTTGATTCTTCAAACATCCTTCAAGATGTCTCTTCCAGACCCAGTCATCAAGCAAAACAAGTTCCAAATTCAGTTGCCGGCAGAGCTGTACCTTGATATAGCTCAATGGCTCGGCCGGTTTCAGGCCGAGACAAAGAGGCGAGAGTACGTGATACCAACATATGTATCACCCACCGACGACGACATTGATAATGACATTGTTAGGGACTTGAGGGATATGAGAACTACACAAACCGTCGTATCGGCGGCCAAGGAGACGCATCCTACAATGGCCATGCTCACCGCGGGCATGGTCAACAAATACTACCACAAAGCGATCAACGACATTGCTCTCCGGTGGGACGCCCAGAGCGAAAACCCCAGGGCCGTCTACCACGCCGCAGTGCACAACAACGTTGATCTCCTCCGCCAGGCCCTTGAGAAGCCCGGAGCTAAACCGGACTACGTCCCACACAGCCTAAAGCCGTCTATATGGACACCACTCATGGTGGCTGCGTCCAAAGGCTATGCTCAAGTCGTGGACCTGCTTCTGCACAAGGGGGCTAATCCAGCACTAAGCTTCGCCGCCCGTCATCTTTCATGGTGGGAACCGCGTCCATTTGCTGCAAGCCCAGAGTCAGGTATTGGGCTGTATGAGTTTGACAGAGACCTTTATGGGCAGCCCTCGCCCCTCCATGCCGCTATGCTGGCTCCCGAGAACGCGTTGACCGTATCCAAAACTATTCTTAGGTCTCTCCCACCACGCTTCTTGACCAAGATTTCCGATCCGCATGGACTCTTCCTTGCTATTGCTGTTGCTCGAGACCATGTCGATTTGGTGGACATGTTAATCAATCGAGGCGCAGATTTTGACCATGGAGGCATAACTAGCTTCCATATGAATACTCCGGTACTTCATCACGCCGTCTCCGGCGATATGGTTCGCAAACTGACCCTAGCAGGTGCGCCACTACATACACCTATCGAGTTCGGCCTCAATGCTCTCCATGCTGTCTGTCTCCGTCAGACAGATTGCTCTTCTGCAATAAGAGAGCTCGTCCGACAGGGCGTTAAGTTGGAAGAGACCACGACTAGCATAGACCTACGACCACCTCCGATCCCTCAACAGGGACCTCTCCGGAAGATCCCTCAGACAGCTCTCAATCTCGCATGTAGGCAGCTCAACGTCGCTCACATCCGAACGCTGCTCGAATTAGGCGCTCACCCACTCGGTGCATGTCTTGAGGAGAGCCCTAGGAAGAAGATGAAGGGCAGTAAGTCCGTGAAGGATAGCGAGCTCTATAAGGTGACACCCCTTCACGATTTGTTTCTACCTGACTACTTTCTCCTGGAAGCACACTATAAGAGCAATGAGGAAACAGCATGCGCCATCAAAGCGGCTTTCAATTTGATAATAAGCCACCCTCTGGCTGTCGAAGCAGTATCGTCTTACGGGAACTTTACCCTTGGGTTCCCAAGCAGCGATCTCATGCACAGGATTTCAAGATCATTCTGGATGAGTGACTACAGTGATTACACCGGCGACTTTGGTAGGTACACCCCTCTGCAAATCTTTTTCGTTCATCCTTTCTCGGACGATCCCGAGATTCCACAGGCCATGTTCGACTTGGTAGAAGATGGTAGGGATCAGATCAACACCATCATAAAGCCGCTCTACATCACGCCGCTCCTGGCTCTCCTAGGCCACCGCTTCGACCATTCTCTCGGCGACGCAAACTTTTACCGGCCAAAACTGCTCAAGTGGCTTCTGGAACATGGCGCCGACCCGAATTTGTGCGACAAGGAAGGCTTCTCGCCCCTCCACTATGCAGTGTTCTGGCTCGATGCTCCGGCTGTCGAGCTTCTCCTTTTACACGGCGCTCAGGTCAAGCGCGAGGACGAACTCCAGGTCATGGACGTACTGTTCGGTGGTGTATTCACCAGAGCGCATCAAGAACAAGCAAAAAAATATAGTCACTCCCGGCAAACCGAATGGGCGCATATGGTGGAGCAAGTCGGCACAGAGTGGTCGATGCACGGCATCGGCAGTAACATTGAGCGCTGGCAGCCCGGCACGCCGCTGCCCGCATGTACGCTCTTCAACTTCGAGGGTAAGTTTATGTTCGAACTGGATGAAGAGGCTCCCGTGCCTTCAGAGCTCGTGACGCGGTGGGGAGGGTTACGTGAGGCTCTGAGGGGGGATGCTGACGAACGTAGGAAGCGGATCTTTGCGGCGCTGCTGCGAACGCCAAACGTGCTGCCCTTTTTGAAGCCCAGGGGGGTTATGGAACGTGACGGTGAGGTGAACCTTGGCGAGGACGGGTCCGGTCCTGACACGATTCGGTACAGTGTTTTGGACTGGGCGAGGGCGACGGCCCAGAAAGGTTGGTTTCTTCGTAGGATTAAGCGACTTGGAGGGGAGACTGGAGATATCCGGCCCAAGGCGAGGCTGGAGATATACGGCCGTTGTCCGTAGAAGTTTTTCTGTTCTCAGGAACGGAAGGCTGCAGGTAGACGAGATCTAAGAAGTCAAAACATTTTTCCAAATCTCTCACGTCAGAAGTGTGAAGTGATGCAACGTGTATAGTCTAGTGAGTGCAGGTAGTTAGTCATAGAAACATCCATCAGTCCAGACCCGCAGTCTGATATCCTCCTCTTCTTCGTCTAAGTTAGGTTTTCGTGTTGCATCAAGATGCCCAACACGAGATACAGGAGCAATCTTGGAGGAGCTTGAGATAATTTTGACCACTTGTCGATGGGATCTTGAGCTATCATGTGGAGAATACTCTGTGTTATCTTTCGCAAAGATATTAGATATTGTAAACACGATGACTACTGAACTATAACAGGAGCCAGATCCACAGTGTTAGCCCCCAAGATGGTTTCTGTGTGGAAAATCCATAGTATTGCGTCCATGATCGAAGACGAGTAGAAGATGGCCGTGGCGGCTGCTTAGTGTTTTCTGAAGTCGGCAAGGACGAGCACAACATGGAGGATGCCACGTTGTTGAAAAGCACGTTGCTTATTGCGGCGGGGAGGTGTTCACTTAATTTGTCGTGAGGGAACCTAGTGTATGGATTCAACATATTCTCCCACTGAAAATCAGGATAATCAAACTTGAAGATCTTGTATGACCCAATAATTTCTGATAGATGTTCCAAACATTGAGGGAGTATGAACAAGTGCTCACATACTTGAATGCTTTGAATATTCTCGTATCAGCAACATGGGAGAGAGAGCTCGAGTGAACAAGCAATGAAAAAGATCAA